AAATATTGATAATTTAATTAGGACGGAACATATGAATTCTGAAAAAAAAGACAGTGTAATTAAGTTATGCCGACAATTCTCCGACATTTTCTTAAAACCGGGAGACCCTTTAACATTTACCTCTAAAACTAAACATATAATTAAAACCACAGACGAGGCTCCTGTACATGTAAAATCGTATCGATACCCATACGTCCACAAAGAAGAAGTCCAAAGACAAATAAACGAAATGCTGGACAAAGGAATAATTAGACCATCGTGCTCCCCATGGAGTTCCCCAATATGGATCGTCAGTAAAAAGATGGATGCGTCGGGACGCCAAAAATGGCGCCTCGTAATAGATTATAGAAAACTGAACGAAAAAACAATAAGCGATAGATATCCAATACCAAATATTAACGATGTATTGGACAAATTGGGAAGAGCACAATATTTTAGCACCCTCGATTTGGCAAGCGGCTTTCACCAAATCGAGATGAGTCAATGTTCAATCGAAAAAACTGCTTTCAGTGTCGATAACGGACATTATGAATTTTTAAGAATGCCTTTTGGCCTTAAAAATTCACCATCCACCTTTCAGAGAGTTATGGATGAAGTTCTAAAAGATTTACAAAACAAAATATGTATGGTGTATATGGACGACATCATTATATTCAGTACGAGTTTACAGGAGCATATCCAAAATTTAAAATTAATATTCTATAAATTACGAGAAGCTCGCTTAAAAATTCAGATTGATAAATCCGAATTTCTAAGAAAAGAGGTTGAATTCCTGGGGCACGTTGTTACACCCCACGGTATTAAACCAAATCCAAAAAAAATTGAGGCTATAAAAAACTTCCCTATTCCACGTACTCAAAAGCAAATTAAATCTTTCCTGGGTTTACTCGGATATTACAGGAAGTTCATAAGAAATTTTGCAGAAATAACAAAACCTATGACGGTATGTCTGAAAAAAGATAATAAAGTAGAACATAATAAAGAATTTATAGATTGTTTTAATATTTGTAAAAATTTGTTGACCTCCGAACCTGTTCTAGCTTACCCTGATTTCACTAAAACTTTTCAAATTATGACAGATGCATCAAACTATGCCATTGGTGCCATCCTTTCACAAGATGGCCACCCCATCTCATATGCCTCACGAACCTTAAATTCTTCGGAAATCAATTACTCGACTATAGAAAAGGAGCTACTAGCTGTGGTCTGGGCTTGCAAGTATTTTAGACCATACTTATTTGGTCGCGAGTTCTTAATTCTAACAGATCACAAACCTTTACAGTGGCTTTTCTCTCTCAAGGAGCCAAATTCGCGCCTTGTACGGTGGCGGCTCAAACTCGAAGAGTTCGATTACAAAATTCAATACAAAAAAGGGAAGGACAACCTAGCAGCCGACTGTTTGTCTCGAATAAATTCAAATGTTGACATTAATGCATTAGAAACAGAATCTTTATATGTAAATATAGACGATATTGATGAGATAATTGATAAAGAACTGCAAGACCTACCAGAAATTTCAACCGAAGAAATTTTAGAATTATTACCTGATAGCCCAGTATTTAATGAATTATCAAATAACAAAAAAATTAACATAATATCAGATATTCAAGTGAAACCACCCGACATAACAGACGCACGTGACGACTCTGACCTAGAAACAGTTCACACATCGGCAGAAAATCCCATTTTAAATATCCCTATTACAGATAGAGCACTAAATCTCTATAAAAATCAGATTCTATTGACTTGCGGTGAAAGTAATGAAACCAAAACAAAATTAAAAAATATTTTTGAGAACAAAAGATTATTTGTCGTTTTACCACAAAGAAATATCGAACAAAGTGTTGTAAAATTCCTTAAGGAGTTTATAAATCCGAAAAAACTATATGCCTTATATTTTAGAAATCCTTTAACCCCCGAAACTTTTGTTAATATTGCCCAACGATACTTTAAAAACTCATCATTTAAATTTGTTCATTGCACAAAGATCTTAGATGATGTAATTTCAAATGAAGAACAAACCCAAAAATTAGAATACTACCATATATACAAAAAAGGGCATCGCGGAATAAATGAAGTAAAAGCATCTTTGGCTACAAAGTACTACTGGCCGAAAATGTCAGAAGACATAGAAAAGTACATTAATAACTGTGAGGTATGTCTAAAAAAGAAATACGACAGAAATCCACCAATAATAAAATTTAATTTGACGCCAACTGCCTATAAACCTTTTGATCATGTACATATCGATATTTTCAGAATATCTAATAATCCATATGTAACGATTATTGATTCGTTTTCCCGATATGGGCAAGCATATCCTATTTCAAGTATTAATGGCATATCTATAGTTGAAAGTTTACTAAACTACGTCACCCATCATGGGTTACCTTTTAAAATTACAGCAGATTCAGGCACAGAATTCAAAAACCAAGATTTAGAAGATTTTTGTAAGTTACACCGAATAGAATTGCACTATACTACAGCCAAAAATAGTAACTCAAACTCACCTGTGGAACGTTTCCATTCCACACTAATTGAACACTTCAGGTGTTTACGGGAATCTAATAAAGATCTTACGGCAGATCAACTCATGAAACACGCAGTCTTATCTTATAACAATTCTAATCATTCCGTAACAAAATATACTCCTTTTGAAATTATTAAAGGACATATAAATAATCCGGACCCGTTTGACTTAAATAATCACCTTATACTTTCATACTATGTTCTAAATCATAAGGAAACGTCAAAGCTACTTTACGAAAAAGTACATGAACGAAACGCAGAAATTAAAGAAAAAATAATTAACAAACTTAATGAAAATAGGTCTGATCCTCCCGACTATACCAATACAAATACAGCTTACATACGGACGAAATACCGTGACAAAAAATTACCGAAATTTAAGAAAACAATAGTCATCAAGGACAAAAATATTTTGTTAGAGACCGACAAAGGTGTATATCATAAAAATATAGCACGTAAACCAAAAAATAATAAAACTGGACTTTTACAGGTGCAACAGGAGAATGAAGTTGATGTTAATCCTGCTATACCTGGCAAGTCAAACCCAGACAATAAAAACTGACAATGATGATACACTTGTGACGCCTCTGGCAAACCTTTTATTACCCATCCGACTAGGACCTAGTAAATTAGTATATAGTAAACATACATTTATTTACTATTTAGATATAAACGAAATAGTTAGACAAGCAAAATACTTAAAACATAATTTTTTAGTAGTTAAGAGTACTATTAGAAGTGTGAATGCCACAAACCCAATATCGTATCATAAACTCGCCGAAAATATGTTAGAAAGGACACAAATTCTAATTAACTCTATTGAAAGAAAACTTGAAAATATCTATCCTCATATCAGATCGAGACGCGGCTTAATAAATGGCTTAGGAAGAGTAAATAAGTGGATTTTTCGGAAATCTCGACTCCGAAGATGGGGATAGATATGACAATGCAATACAAATCTTACAACAAAATCAAAAACAAATAATAAAAGAAACCAATTTACAAATATCATTGTTCAATAAACTCATAGATCACTATAACAAATCATTAACGATATTGTGGCAAAATCAAGCAAAATTTCAAATTAGTTTAGAAAGATTCCAAGGTACAATTGAAAATCAAATTAATAATATAGAAAGATACATAACTTTCGAAGCAACGGTAAATCAAATAAACCTAGATTACATAATTCAATAATATCAAGCCTTGAAATTAAAGAAATGATTAACTACTTACAGAAAATTTATAAATCAAACGAAATTCCTAAGTTTCATAACATTCTAAATTATTATCAGTTCCTGGGAACACAAGTCACTTTTTCAGACTCAAAATTAATTTTTGCTATACATATACCTATTCTAAAACCACACTCCTTCGATTTTTTCCACATTTATCCAATAATCCAACGAAATACAATGATAACACCTCCCTATCCTTATCTGGCACGATCAGCTGAAGAATCGCAATTCCAGAAAGAAGAATGTCCTGTTTTAGAAAACTTGTATTTCTGTCAGCACAACCCAGTTCCGAGAGATAACTGCACGCTTCGCCTCTTGGAGGGTGGAACACCCTCAAACTGCCACATAACCGAGGTCAACCTACAAGAAACAATTATCGAACAGATAACCACCAGCGAAGTATTGATAATTCCACTCCAAACAGAAAAGGTACTATCAAAATGTAAAACAGATCAATTTCTAGAAGTTAAAGCTCCATCATTAATCAAAATCCCAGATGGATGTGAAATATCAATCGATGAAATGAAATTTTCTAATAATCAACAGATCCAATACGGCAAACCACTAATATTACCAAAATTTTGAATCACAAAAACTCTACCAAACTGCAAATATAACCAAATTTAACTTCAAAGAGTTATACAAAATAAACAAGATTTCCAGTCAACTGAAGCCAATACAAGAAACTACAAACACCCAGTATATTATTCCAACTACAGCGACATTTTCTACAATAGTAATTATTATTTGTGTAGAAATTTGGGCATTAATAAAATTAAATGCCGCAAGCCAGCTACAAAACAGAAGAAAGAAGAAATCGAAGAAATAGAAATTCCAGCCCAAAATTCAACATCCAAAAATAGCTCCTCTATTTTCGATTCTTAAGGACGGAGGAGTTAGATACCTACAATTCCCAGAAATACCGCAAGCTAGGAGAATCTTATCTAAATACATATCATGTTTCTAAGCACTTGTTAGATATTGTAATACACAAAAGATTCACTTCTGTTTTTGCCGTTGTAACAACAAGTTGTTCAAAGATTATTAATATTGTATTTTTTAAATAAAAATAATATTTTTTAAAAAGACTTTTTCGGTTGTTCGATTCATAATTAACGTGAATTTTTTGTCAATGAATGTGTTTTATCATTTGTAAAGTCGACAACTTGAAGCTACAAGTATTTTGTGCAAAAATATATATTACATTTGAACTAAAATACATTTTTATTTCAGGTAAACATGCTTTAATAACGGTTCGTCAACCAAAAGGACAACTCATCTCCATCCGTAGTCAATCGGCGCTGTATGGCACTGCTACACCAAGTGAAATTAAAGTATGGGACGCTTGCGACGATGTACAAGATTACGTGACTGTGTACGATGGTTACACAACAAGGTTAGACCATTTTTATATAAAAAAAATTATTTCTACTGTTAACTGTATGAAATATCAATCCAAAAAATCAGGTTTATCGAAGAGCAGAACTTTATTGAAATTCTTACAAATCAAAAATATCAGACAATCATATAAAATTCATTCAATAGACCATCAATTAATATTCGAAAAACAAACTATTAAAAATATAAATACAATACTAGATACTATAAAATCATGTACAGGATGTTACAATACCGGATAGCTGGCTGGCTGTGAATGGATTCAAAACACCGATCACAGCGTAGCAGTAAAGGTCTATTCTCACTATAGGTCAAGCCACATTTTCAACAACATTTGACCGGACCGTGACTGTCCCTTGACGCGCAAACCGTCTAATGTGAATGCTCAACGATTTGATCGTGACCGGACCGTGACTTGACTCTGCCTTGTCCGGCTAATGTGGATAGACCTTTCTGGACCTGCCACAGTCTTGATGAGTGACCGGACTTCAAGAGCCCGGACCCATCTACACTTTGGAATGTATGAGTACAATCCATGAGTTGAAAATAAACCTGTACGGCTGTACTTGCGTTATGCGAACACCAAATAAAAAATAGAGTCCATCCATCGGTAGCTGACAGCTAGAAAGATAGAAATCAAGAAAATATTTTCACCTTTTATACCTCTTTTGCAAGATAACAGAAAGGAAACCATTTATCTCTACATTTCATTAAGAATTATAATAAACACAGAAGATTATGCACATTTTAAATGCGTTCACGATATTCAATGCTTAAAAAAAACTTTAAATCAATATCGAAATACAATTAAATAGAAATAATTTATGAGTTGTAACTAGTTTCGGTTAAACAGCCATCATCAGGCATGTGATATAAAACAACTAAGCTGTAACAAGTTAACACTAAGAATTATAAAGGTCTAATTTCACTGATATAAATAAAATATGGGATAGACAAAGACGTAAACAAGTAGGTTATAATAATTAAGGTTTAAAGTTTTTCTAATTATTTGTCATTTCTTCTTAAGAATATTGTTCAGTGATTCACCCGGGAACTCTTAGCCTTTAAAATCTATTGTAATATCGTTTCCGACTACAATTTGTTATTTATTCTATAACTTTTTTTAATTCCAAACCTTGCCTTTAGTAATTTTCCTTGTTTGTTTGTAAAGTTGTCTACGCCATTATTACGTTACCACACTGGCGGCTTGTCCTAAAGAGCCAAAGGGCCGTGGCACTAGCGCAAAATATGTCGGTCAATATTTATTTTTTATTTTAGTTCAAAAATTACTACAATTGTCGGGCCAATTAGATAAACAATTATTTATCATGTAATTGGATGCCGACGAAAAAATTACGTCGCACTATTCCACAGAAGAGAGAACACGTTATTTCAATACACAACAAATAACGTTTCAAGCAACTGACTGAACTCACTGGACTATATTTAGTACGAGCACATTTCACAACGGCCCGGTCGCTGGCATAGCAATATTGAAAACGGTTATGTCATACATACAGAAAGTTCGTGTTTAATACGTTTAAACCTTCAAGCATATATATTTCATAGAGTTCGCATTTGTTCGCGTTTGTTTGGGT